GCTGTTTTCATTCAAAGCTCATGAGTAGCCTGGTTGCCCACGGTTTGATTGCCAGTGTCATTTGTTCCAGTTATGGCTGACCACACACGTAGTCTCAATTATCTTGGCTCGGTGGTGTCATGGTTGTTTTACTCACAAAATTGACGATGACCGCACAAACTGTGGCAACACTTGTGGTGACAAACGTCTGTCAGGAAAAGAACCCAGTCATGGAGCAGATTGTAAACACCTACCTGCTTGTTCCCGGTTTCTTGTTTGCATCCCAACTGATTGACAGTGACCAACACCGGCCAGACTTGTGAACTTCGATTCCCAGTTGGACTGAATGAGGCCATTCTGAGCGAGTTGGCTGAATAGACGCTTGAGTTGTACAACTTTTCCCACTCAATAAAATCCACCGCTGGATTGGCCGAAACGGTACAAGGCAAACGACCGGGTCCGTTGAATCCTAAATAGATTGGCTGTTTCTGAGTCAAATGGGCCTCCGGTGGGACTAGAAAAAAAGCGTCAAGATGAAGGAGGTTTAGGTGGGGGGGGGGAGATGCGAATGTAATTGATAGTTGGCTTATTTCATTCTAACTACTCGTTCTACTGTTGGCGTGACGGCAAACGTGGAACGGCGAATAAAAGTGATTCTAATATGAATGTCAAAAACCATCAACCTATGGCGGAATGAAATGAACAAAGAAACCGTTGCGGATTACATTTTTGCTCATTACTCGGCTATATCGTCTTAGCAGATAGATTTACTGCATTTTCAGACAGTCTGATTGTGTTTGTGGATTATAAGCGACAAAACATATTGGACAACTTCTCCTTTGAACAGTATAGCTCTTAACTGCAATGCTGATAGTTGACAGCTTGAAGGCATAGAGACAATGATTTGGTGTTTTCATATCCATTCATTTGATGTCGATTTCTAGACTTTAGGATTTTTGGGAGATAATACTGTTCGTGTTTATGAACTCTTACGGGATACATCTTAAACAGCATAGCCAAGTCCGGTTGACTAAATTTATTTTCGCTTATTTGCGAAGCTGGAGAACATGCTCTCAAACAGTCCGCCATCAGTCGATGTGACATCTCCAGTGCATGACAAAGTTTTGCTTTTGTCCGTCCACCTATATAAAGTCCCCATCGGTGATTTGGTCCCCGCAGTTTGGCAATGAATAAGCACAAAGGAGACTTGTCCCCCCTGGAATGGTTCTTTAGGCTGTTGTGTAGTCACGAGGTGACCTTTTGTCGAGTCATTCGACCTGTTCCTGTTACGACTTCGGTGGGATGTTATTTGGTTGACAAAGTCCTGGAAATCGGTTCTCGTAGATCGGGTGAACAGAATTCCATTTCACCTGTTTGCCAAGCCTGGTAATTTGTTTGCATACGGATCATCACCAGCCGAAAAGAAATCATCAGTACTTGTTTGCAAACATGTTGCCAAATTCGGCGAACAGGCAAAATGGAGTTATGTAGTTATAAGTTATATGAATTATTTTCTAAAAAAACGGAAAGTCGAAGACCTGCTGAAAACTTTAAAATGTGCGGTGCACCGCATCGACTGCATTGATTGCAGACGAGAACACACGTGACAAACCACACAGTTTTACTTTCTACTGTGTGCATTGTGCCTCATTGTGTTGAACCGAATACAATACACGTTGACCGGATCCGGTGAGTAGTCAGATCCGTTATCTTTTAAGCACTTAAAATTACAGATCAATGACTGCAAAAATAAACGAGGCAGTGAAATCCATAGTGTCGTAGCCGCAATGGGAGAATCATCTAAATGAATTGTGACTGTGTGCGCCTGAGTCATTTAGACCAGTGAATCACAAGTCAGTCAGTTGAAAGTTTACATTGTTGCTTCTGTTAGTTATGCGCTAGTCTTCACTGTTGCTGCTATTTATGTGACCGAATATCAAACTGTGACATCAATTGCCACGTGGATATGCCATTTGAGTGAATTAACACTGGCAGACACATGCTCAACTGTTTTCTTCTAATTGCTTATCAGGGGGCAAGTACAGTATGATTTCATTACAGGGACATCGCATCCCGGTCATTTTTAACCTTGAGAATATAAAACAGTCACTTTCCTGTTTTTAATATTATAGAGCAGATAACCCATCGGTTTGTTTATCCCAATTTTGTCACTTAACCCAATGCCACGATTGCAGCGATACCTCAAAATGCGGGGATTATCGTTCACACGTTTTGTACGCCACGAAGCAAGACCGATCTCCTAAAACACCGATCAAAACCGATGTAAAAGCTCAGCCAATTCATCCGACTTTTAATATATTTTTCTTTCTCACTTCAGGTCCTTATGATGCTAAGTTACAAGGACTGCGGATGCGGCGGATTTGGTGGCACGTATGTCAGTTTGTGTGTGTGCCTGCGCGCCCGAGGGTCTGTGTGTGGTCCACTAGCCTGTTTTTTGTTTGTATTCGTGTAACAAAACTTTCGTGTCGATGGTGCCGTTATTGTATCACCGGGAATTTGCCAGATGTTCTTCATAACATCAAGGCCACACCCGATGCATAAAACGGTTCTACTGATTGTATGAACTTCATCAGTGGACGGGTGGATGCATAGTCCTCGGGCATTTACTACGCACATTTGGCACTAAATTTTTTGCCTCTTTGCATTCCAGATGTAGCAGTATTATTTGTGTTTGCAATTTCTGAACCAAGGGAGGAAATTGGAGTCCTGTCTCGTCGTTGCTCGGTGCACCGTAAAAATGGGGATCACCTGAACGTCCAAAAGGATATCCCTTCCGGCCATCGAGAGTTAACTCTGACAACAAAACTTGTTTCGGACAATTTGTAACACTTATTAACTTGTTTGATCTTCGATCATCTTCATGTTCGAAGTATATTAAATTAACAATAAATTTTTATATTCTTTCCCCAGCCTACTTACACGAATTCAGTCAGACGGACATTTATAAGACGGTCGTTATTTTGCAACTTTTTCTGAGAGTTTCGAGCAGGTTATTCTAGTTTCCAAATAAGGGCATATAATTGGAAAGTTTTAATACAAATAACCAACACGGAAACTCTTAAACTATCATGTCCAGTAAGAGTACGCTTGAACGAACATTGTCACTATTAATCATAGATTTTCAATCAACTGTTACAGAATGGCCTAAGAAGTGATGCTGATGAGCAAAATCAGCAAATCGGTCTGCCAGCCTATTTCGTCCGTGCGTTTTAGGACTACTCAATATTACAAGCATTTATCGATCAAGGGATTGACAATGTTTCATTCACCATCAATCTCGTTTATTGCTCTCTTTCTGTATTTCGTCTCATCCAGATGACCTTTATCCGTTTCGGTTCCATTCAAACATCTTATGGCATGTTTGTAGATGATTTAATTCAGTCATGATTAATCATTATTTATAATACAGAACGGAGCGAGTGTGTAAATCGGCAACCATCCAACCTTGTGTCAGTGTTCGTAACACGTCGCAACGCCACTGTATTGAATATTTATTTGCTCTGTTTGGGAACTAATTCTATCTGGTACTGTATCTATCTTGCTGCAGTGTGGGTCAGTTTCTCATCAATCAAATCTGAATGTAATTTGATTTTCACCTGAACAAACTGTGATTGTCAAAGAAAGAAGACCGTAGAGCATTAACGCTGCACTGAGGCAAGATAGTTATGGGAACCGTTTCACCAGCTTTGACGAAAACGCACATACTTTAAAACTCACAATAAACATCCAGTTTAGCAGAAACAGTCCATTTTGTTCCCGAAAGCGACACATATCCGTAGTTTTCACCATCTGTGCGCATAGTTTGAACTGGGGATCGATGATCTGGTATTTCGTCATTGTCGATGGTATCAGAAATGCTCTCTTCCGGGCCTTCATGGGACACGCATGTGTAAATCCCGGTGTCGGATCTATTGATGTTGAGCAGGAGAAGAGTCCCGTTTGCAAACATTTTATATCGATGTTGTAATCCAGGATAAAGCAAAAGTTGTCTGTGATTCTTGAGCCTTCGGTTTAATATGAAACAAAATATGAATGAACAGGAACAAATATTTTATCGATTGTCATTATGAGTGAGGTATGTCGCGTACTCATCAAACTGTGTCAATTAGGAGGGTCAGTGGTTTTGTTTTTATGAAATTGAAAACAAATGTTTTTCGGAATCACAATCAAACTCTGGACGAAAATGATTTTTGTTTGAATTCCGTATTCAAACAGAAGTAAAGTATCACAGAAATAGTAAACACATTCAAAATAAAAATCAATTTGTAAAACATTTTAGAGCAGTATTCGTATGCATTCCAGTAAAAAGGAAAACTTATTACATTACATATGTCTACCCAAGGTTGCTCATCGTGTGAAATCAATATCCTAAAATAAAAATGTAGTAAAAGACTGGTATCAAAGACAATTGATTATGGAATTCAATTTTAATACTGCAGATAACTCTGACTTATTAACTTTGTAACTGACTGGTTCCACCAATGCGATCTATCTTTAACACCTGGATTCTCATTGTAAAGTGAGAGCAATGCTGTACAGGTAAATGTAACTGTCGTTCTAGTAAGTTATGTTACATATGTGGTAGGGAATTTTTGTATGCCTTCAGTTTGGCTACCTCTGTCCCAGTGGCTATCATACGAAGGTTCTCCAATAACCTGAAGACATTTTGAAGAAAACCTGACATCATTGCGCAAACTATTTTTGTTTTTATTCAATTAGTGCGCACCATGAGAGGAGTGTTCTATCCATGTGTGCAATCTGTGGGACAGAGAGGTACTGGGAAACGGCGCACGTAAGCTACAAGGAATCACGTAGTGTGTTTTGAGGTCAACGGGGGAGGGGAGGCGGGCCCTTGAAATCGCGTAATTGGTAGTCTTCATCAGGTTATCTTGTCACTTTTCACTTCTGATATCTCCATCAGACGAAATTTGCTGATGTCAACATACTTCGAACACATTGCTTAAATCCATTGGCTTGATTGAAGAAAAACGAATTGAAGCTATTACGAAAATAGCTACTGGTAGTTGTCAACCTCACTTATCAGAGGTGGAAAAATCTGAAGAGTCTGATTCTTTTTACATATATAGCGGAAAAGCGTCTTGCTAAGAGCAAGTGGTTTCAATGATTTGCATTAATGAATTAAGAAATCCTATTATGAAATTTGCTTCTTTTGAGTTTAAAATTTATTTTTAAATTACGCCACTATGGTTTATTTTGGAAGGTATTACAAATGCATTCGGATTCTTTGGGAGCTCTTGCTCTGTTTGGCCAGAAATGTCGTTTTGGTTGTTCAGTAGTGGAAGGATCAAAATTAAATGGGTGTTTCTGTACAGTGGTAATAGAGACACATCCTATGAGCAGTAAACAGTAATGGATGTGAATGTGGATAGCAATGACTTATATGTCGACTCCGCTTGATCCATTAGTGTCAGCAATAAGTGGTAAGATGTGATCGCCTGGAGACAGGGACAAATGAACACGCCAAATTCTCAGATGTGCACCAGTACACGCTACACAAACAACCAAGATACTATGTCATTGGAGGCTTGCTGGACCAAGGAACGTCATAGTACCTTCTCCCCCCCCACTCGTACTTCAACAAAAGGTTATGCAATCTCTGGGTTGAATGATGATCCTCCAGACATCATTTGTGAGTTTTGAAAAGAATGTGGGTTTGATATCGCCGATTAAGTTGACGTCCTATATGGTCCTTCTGATTTGACATCAGAACTATTTGGTTTACAAAAGGTATATATGTAGGTTTTAAAATGGGCTTATGACTCTCAGCCACATTGCCCAATGTTTCTAATCATGGATTAGTGTGTTCATAAATTCCCCAACTAAGTAGCTCATCCTAGCGTCTGTGGGTAAGTCTCCTGTTCACGATTTCCGCAACCTCATACAAGGTCACAGTCTGGTTACTCTTTATATCACGTTTTTTATTAATTTTTCTTGTTTTCTTTTTCATATTTACCTTCTTCTGTTGACTACAAAATGATGCAACTTTGCGGGAAGGGGAAAGCAGCCATACAAGTGTCATACAACACGGAATGAGGGAAACCAAGCAGTGGTGACAATTTGATGACGCTACTATTGGGTCAACACGGCCGTCGAAATTGCATTAGTTTTTTTCACTGTAGGTACAATATCTAGACAAAAATTATTTACTGTTTAAAAAACACGAACAAGTAGCTCCGTTGTTCAGTTATTACAAGACTCCTGGAGATGGTTTTCCCTTGTGCCCAATGCAGCTGTTTGGAAGCTGGGGTGAAATTCAATGATGGATAAGAAGGCAATTCGTTTTGGGTGTTCGTAACATCATATCTGGACTCATCTCTTATGACAAGCGCACAATAACGTTTCTAAGCTGTTCTCACGGTCGAATGCTTGTGAATAACGAAAAGTGTAGTGAGGTTTATTTTAAAATCAAATAGTTTGGTCTACCGACATTGATGCAACAAAATCACTCCACTTCTTTTCGGATAAACTCGTACAATAGTTTGTGCTATACGTTTCACAATGGATTGTTTTACCGGATTTACATTGCTGTGAACTCACTGTGTTTCTTTTCATCTTCTGTTGGGTCAACTCAACGTATGGAATCATTGATTAGTCACGTACCTTAGTTTACGGATTGACCTTAAGATTCTAATAATAATGATTTGTGCATAGAAATGCAATGTGTTTTATAGATGTAATGATCTTATAGAACTTCTTCAATCGCTGTACTACGTGCCATCAGACAAACTTAACTTCAAATAGCACTTAAAACAGTTGCTTTTTATCGTTTATTCAACGGGGAGCATGAAGCAAAGTTTAATCGAACTGAGAGTTTTATTGCTGTACCAATTTTTTCTGACTGCTGAATGTGTTGTAAGATGTGTATCCCTGTCTAATTGACAACGATTGTAAACCTTCCACTATTCTAGCCCTTACTGATGTGAAAGTTATTTTGTCTTTCCTCGATTAATTTACTAATACTGAATATAAAAACAATCAAGTCTTTAGCTTCGGTTTGAACAAGCAATAAACTCTCCTTTCTATGTTGCAATCTTAGTCGCCGTCAGTTGATTACCCAGCTGGTCGATCCACGAACAGAGGAGTGGGACTGGTTGAAAAACTAAGTGGTTGAACAAAAATGAATTTATAAGGGATAAGAGAAAACTTTTTTAGTTTCAGTTCATGCAACCATGAGCCATGCACTTTCGTGTGGCGGTTTTGGTTACTCATTTTTGAACAAAGGTCAATTACGTCATATTGTCGGGTCATGGCATACTCGAAACGTGAACGATCCGTTTTTGTTTGCATAGTTCGAATCGCTCCGCCTCGGCTGTGCAAAGCATAATCTGCCGCAATTGTTTGGTCAGATTAATCGGGGTTCATTTTTCTCGAGAATCAGAGGAATGCTTGGAACGTCGTAAGGGGTGTCAATATGAAGATAGAAAATTCAAGCAGAATATGATTGAAACAATATTGGAAAACCTAGATGTAAATAAGACGTTAGAAATGTAGAAGCAGCATTTTCTTTTACTACACTAAGCGGTGTTACACAAACTCTTTAATCATTAATTAAGTTAATTCTGAATTCCTCAGCCAGGTATCTTAATACAAACTGTGTAACCCCACCCATTGGTCAATCTCCATACACATTCACACCAGGCCTTCCATTCACTACGGACCTTCATAAACATTGTGCATCTGTTCGATAACATAGGTAATATATGCATCAGCCATTGTATGCTTTCGTCCCCGCGCTATATGAAATCCTAAGCGATAGTCGCCCAAATACATTACATTAATTGAATCTATCCCAATTTGCACACCTCAGAATCCTTCTCGGTGTGTCGTAAGACGAGTAAAACATGGTTTTAGTAAAAGTAAACAATAACATCATGAACAACCAAATACATTTTGAAAGTGACTCACGCTCTAATAACCAAAGAACGCTTGCATGCAGAAATAAGGAGAAAATTGAAATTATGAATATCCACCAGGAAAGTCAAAATCTCGAGGACCTTTTGAGTTCCATCTTGTATAAGAATAACTACAATTTATGCCTGCGTCTGTTGGAATGCTTAATGTGAATAAATTCCTGATAAATTACACTGATAAAAAGATTATCAGTGGAATGCAACGTTTTAATGCATGGTTCAATCATAAGTTAGATTTAGTTAGCCATAAGCACCTATGCCAGCTGGAATAGTAATCTTAAGATTAAAATAACTGCCTGCCACTGACGACTTGTTTTTATTCACAATCTCATCTGTTCAGGAAAATAACTTAGGGTTCATGAAAGCTTGAACACACTAAAATGATGTCACTCTGCATATACGATTCACACACACCAACCAACTTACCATGTGTATTGTGTGAACTCGTTTCCCGTGATAATTCGGCAATGAAAAAGGACGTATGGGGTGCCTTCTGGTACAGTTTGGTTTTGTGGCTTCTTCATTATTGGAGTTCGTCCTGAAAAAGACGGGCATGAGATTATTTACGGAGTAGGAAAAAAGCAAGAACAACCATAAAGCATATCTGTGCTTGGTTTACTTCCCATTTTCCTCTGAGTGAACCAGATATTGCTTTTCCTCATGAAATGCATTTATCGGGTCTTGTCCGTGTTCTTTCGGAGATATGTTGGTTGTTAGCTTGACGAACTGCTGCATGGAGTAAAGGCCACTCGTTGATTGAACAGCACGTGAATAAAGTATTCAAATTGGAGGAATGGTGATTTCACAGACTGTGTTCACACTGATCTATAAAGCGGTAACTAAATGCGCCATCACCAATTGAATTTCACGGATCACAGGATTTTACTACTTTTGATAGGCTAGTATAGTTAATTTCTACAACAGTTTGTCTGACTTTTGTCGCCATTCAAGAAGGTTTGCAAAACTTGGGGAAATGTCCTTATTGGCTCATCGTTCTATACATGTTACATAGATTCGA